TTTTGCGATGATTTTGCGTAATGAGATACTGCATTATAATAAAGATTAATACATTTGTTGATATATGACCAAAAAAGTGATTTCGCCCGGCATTTAGTCATAATGCATTTTTGCTGACAAAATCACAAAATTTCTATGTGTAAAAAACTCAAAAATTTTTTGTTTGGAGGGTATGTGAGCTATAGAAACGCACGCCGCTCAACCGATTGGGCTGAAAGTATGTACTTCTGCTTGCAAAGATTACACGCATTACTGCTGTATCTTTGCCGTAGTTAGTATGAGGGAATATGCGAGAGTTCTGTCAGATTTGGAGAGAACATCAAAATTGTCAACCAAGATTACTACGAATGCTGATAGGGCCAGATGATACCCAATAGATGTAATTTTTTTGTACGAGGTCTGCGAGGTCTGCGGTTTTGCGCGAGGTCTGACTTGGTTAAGTCAGACCTCGCACAACATCAACATCAACCATGCAACTCGAGCATCGATAGATGCAGATTTTTCTCCTGTTTGGGTTTTGTGTTTGACTAAGATGGTAAACGCTTATTTGCTTTGCAAAATTGGCGTTAAATAGTAACTTTTGGATTTCTTGAACTTCCATTTATTGTTGTTTGATGTGTTTGCGCATTTCACGACTTCATTTTATGAAAGTGAAAACTTTTTTTAGATATTTCCAAAAAATAACGGAAAGCTCTAAAAACGCCAAAAAAGTTTTGTGCTTTTGTTTAGATTAACCATTAGCAAAACTCTTCCAGAAATTCTAATTGGAAATCTCAAAAATTGGCAAAGTTGGGCAAGGTGAGAATTGTGGGTTCAATTTCGACTTTGTTGTTGTGGTTTGCGCCTGTTCAAAAGATTTCGCTAAAAGTTACGTTATGGAATAGCTGCTTAGTAAATCAACTTCTTTCATTAATCAGCTGTTCAATGTATTCCCTCCGTTTGACTAGAACGATAAGATTTGGAGCGCAGACTTGTTAAAATTTCACCGAAGGTAAGTCTATCTAGTCAGAAGTTTTCTTGGTTCAGTCAAAATTATGAACTAGGATTTCTTTGTCGCATTTTTGTGAGGACCAACACCTTTTGTGCGAAAAGCATATATTCATTCACTGCTGTAAAGCAACGTTGGCAACGATCGTAACTATTTCGAATTTGTCTTTTACAATCAAACAGTAACAAGCGCATTTTTGTTACAAATTTCCATGTGCCACGTCATTCAAAAGAAAAGGTTGATAATTCCCGAATTGTACGCGACGTGCTGAGTCGAAGTTCTTCTTCCGGATGTAAGTTTGTGAGAAAGAGAGTACTCGTAAGGATGTGAAAGTGTGTGAGGGTGAGGAAGGATGAGGATGTGAGAAAGGATAAGTGTATGGTAAGGAGGGCGTGTGGTAGAATCGCAGGGCAAGGGAGAGATTGTGCGCGAGTAGGTTAAAGAGTGGTGAGAGTGTGGTAAGGTTAGTGTGAGTGAGGGGGGAAAGTGCGAGCAAAGGTGAAGTGAGAGAGAGTGGAGGAGGTGAGGAAGTGGGGGAGGGAATGGAAACAGGGACAGGCGAGCTACAACTTCATAGAAGAGGAGGAAATTGTACAGGCACCCCTTCAACTCATTCTTTCATCTCCCCCTCCCTTCCTCACACTCTCAACTCTCTCCCTCCCACACCCTCACCCTTGCCTACTTGCACCCTTTTGTACCCTTTCCCTCTCCCACACCCTCACTCCCTATCTTACCCTCACATTCCCACTCTACCACACGCGCTTCCCTCCCACACACTTACTCCCTCTCTTTCCCAACTCGCCTCGTATCTCATCCTTACCCTCACAGCTTATTCACACTCTCACCCTAGCCCACTCTCACACTTCCTCACTTGCACACACTCATCCTTTCGCACGAAACTTACCTTGATGAAGGCCCTGTTACCGTATCGCTACCGTATTACCAAACTCAACTGGATCGTCGATCTGAAAGTTTAACATGTACTTTATGATCATTACTTGTGTTGAGTTTTGGCTTTATAATAAATATATGATTTTGTGTCAATGTCATTGGAACAAACAGTTTCTACCAACATCTAGTCATAGCAATTTTGCTGAGAATTATAATCACCGAAACACACGAATGCAAACAAAGCTTAGCTACAGTCTACCTAAAGCTTTACTACAATTGATTAAAAGATGGAAATCCTTGGGCACCCAAAGTTTGTGCGTTTTTGAAAATTACAGATCCTTTGTAAAGATAAAATGATACTTTAGATTACGTTCAATTAGATTCTTCGTCTTTACAGATATATTCAAATCGTCTACTTCGAGGAACACTTAACTGCTTCCTGGAGTTGGTAATCCGTGGTTTTAAATTTTGGGAATTTTTCACAATGTTTCAGACATCCGAATAACTTTGATACAGCAGGATAGGGCAGAGCTATCGCACTGCAACTTATTTAACTCTTTAGTCGTTTTCACAACTTTCAAAATCATTTTCCAGAAGTCGCGTTTCATGCGTATTGGCAATTTCATTACTTCGTAGAATGCTGAGCAGTTTTTGGGATTTGAAGGATTAACTGGATTAGTAATCTTGAAGTAAATGAGCATTTGCTACGCCAGAATAGGCGGTTTCAAAGATTTCTGGTGCAGCCATAGTACGGCGATTTGCGTAAAAAGCTGCATTTATAAAGTGCCTGAATTGTTTGTCTGTTGTTGTTGTGTCAAGGCTTAACCAATCATAAATTTGGTCACTCCAAAAATTTTTCTTCAAAAAGCTAGTCTAAGAAATGCGAAAAAACTCTCACAATGCAAAAGAGTTACTTTATCTGCTGATGTTTGTTCTTCAAAACTTCAAAATGAAAAACCTGAACATCTCTTGAGACGGAAAAGGAAAAAAATGATATCTTTCAAACTTGAAATGGTATCTAAGCGGTCGGTTGAACTGAGAACATAGTTGCTAGAAAATATAAGGTAATGTGTCAATCTCTCATTTTTTCTAAGGGAGTTGCGAATGAACCCAAACGGCAGCAATTTTCGGTCCAATCTATTACATGAGGTCGTTCCGAAAGTCCTTTCCTTTTTTTGATCTAGCATAAAAACGCGTACTAAGATGAGCAAAAAGAATATTCGACGCATGTGCTTATCAGGATAAGTGCAGAAGTTTTTAATCAATGGTTTTTACCATGCCCAAGTTTCGCAATTTTTCACATTCTTTTACTTTGAACTTTTGGAGAAGTTTTGATGACAGACGGATAGAGCAAACAAAGTGCAACGCTATAAATTTTTCAACATCTTTAGCTAGCTTTTCAGATTTATTGAATGTTTTTCTTTGATGGTAACTTCCACATTTGGTCAAGCTAAACCTCACAGAACATTAGCCGACAAGCAATTTGGGTACTACTCAGTGAAGTTTTTCACCTCTTTTTGATAGGCGTTTTGCCTTAGCGACTTGTGAAACTTTGGGAGATAAAATTACTCATATTGTAAATTTTTGAACGCGCCCATGGCTGCTGAATTTCCAGAATTCTATAACTCGAAACGAAGAAAGCTTATTTCCTTTGTAAAATTAGTGCTGAATAATTGTCGAGATTTAGAATTCTAAAAATGCAAAGCTTCTTAGTTTTTGATGTTCATCATCACATGACTTTCAAAAGTGAAGGCTTTTGGAAAAATCATTTTAAAAAATCTGGGAAGAAAGTCGAAAATTCCCATGAATATGTTGTGTTGAAATTTGTTTACTCTATTCACAAGTTATCACAGCTGTTTTAGAAGTTGAGAATGAAAGTCTTGAAAAATCGAAAAACTTAAGCATGTTAAAAACCATGGGTTTAATATAATACTTTTGCAGTTATTTCAGTGGTCCCAGAATATGACTGCTGGAAAGCGAAAGAAAAGTTTACCGGTATTCTTCGTGTTCTTATGACAAGGAAGAAACCTTTGATTCAATATTTCTAGCTATCAAATCAACGTCGTGACGTTACTTGTATTAGAAAAAGGTATGGAGCTTCCGAAAAGATAGATTGATTGATTTAGTATTAGTAAACGAAAAAATATTTGCAAATATGCTTTGTTTGCATTGTTCGACATTAGCTTCAATTTTTGTGCTAGCATACAGTAATTGCTATCTCTATTTAGCTAGACAATGGTAATAAATTAAGTTCGTGTAACATGCTTTGAGACTAAAATTGTCAAACAAGGTTCTGTCAACAATGCTCTATTTTTTCCATTCGGCAAGGATAACTCCTGGGATAATGTTTGTTAGAAAGAGTAGAACTTCTTGCCAAAAAAGATAATTTCTTTGCTATTTCTGCAACACTTCAAAAATTCGAATATTTTAATCTTTGCGGTTTTTGGAATAATTCAAAACTAGTGAACCAGTAACTGGTAAACCAGTAATCTCAGAGGTGCTGGTTGCAGGCGCGCTCGCTTCGGGACCCAATCGGTTTCCTGCTATCTGATGATTTCTGAATGCACCTTACGGTTCTTTACATATTAGATTGCGAAGACAATCTGTAATAGTTTTCGTAATCACTAGTATTTTGATGTTTTTACTATTTTTTATAAAAAATAAACTGACCCCTCGTCGTAGAAACCTATAAACCCTCCAATGTCTTATTCGTGGTCACAGTACTCAACAATTAACCTGGAAACACTTTCGTCATTTGTTTTAACTTACTGCTTGAAAAAATTTACCCACTTTTAGCCTAAATTACCCTGTAACGTTGATTGTGCAAGCCACACGGAGAAATTTATTTTGAAGCGAAACATTTTCCTCAAACAGTTGCATTCTAATTTCGAACTCAGCAACTGCTTTGGCTGTTACATGTTGGAAGGTATAGCCCTGGAGATTAATTGATTAATTTTTGACGGTGCCAAGCAAGAACAAGGCCGGTTAGGATTCCATTAGTTCGTTCCGAAAGTCGTGCCGTTTTCAGACCTACACTCAAATCACAGATGGACAAACGCTTTTAGCAGCGTTCGATGCAGAATTTCTTTTTCTTTGAGCAGTGAAGGTTGTTATGAGTAACTTAATGACAAACCATTGTTTTCAGTGGTCGTAGTTTTTTGATAACTTTCAAATATTCCATTTCAAATTTGAAATAGGTTTGTAACAGTAAATTAGAGTGATGAAAATTCAACACAATGGATTTCTGCGGTGCCATAAAACCTGGCTTTCCAGCACTTTCCAAGACGAACTTCTCGAACTCCAAAGGATTCAAAACTAATTCTCTTAAACTTCCAAGCATAAATTATGATTAAACAAATCAACGCTAATTACACAAGGCAGTCGAATGTTTATGGCTTCGAAATACTGAGTTTCGGATTCGCCGGGTACGGACAGGAACGGTTCAAAACAAAAATGACTATTTTTTTCCTCAGGCTTCACAGACACAAAAGAAGAAAGACTTAATAAAAAGAGAAAAAAACTGCATCTAATGACATCTTGATAGCTCGCCGTTTGTTGATGAGATTCGGGATGTCCAAATATGAAATCTGGTAGCATTGAAAAAATTAATTTAACAAGTCAAAACCTAATGTAGATGCCAAAAAAACCCATTGTGCTGCACTTCGTTTTCTGTTCAACTGTCATTGAACCTCTTAATGAAAATCTAAATCGGAAGCTATAAAAAATAGCTGAACTTAGGGTAGATAAATAGCACGGATTGAAGGCGTCGTCTACTTTACTCTGACATGAGTGATATAAGCATAGGTCTAAAAACCGCACGAACTCTCGGACCGACCTGATGCTCACTTAAATTTTCAGTAAAAGGAACGAGAAGCAGTTTTTTAACGTTAGAAATTCCGCGAGCACAATGTGGAAATCCACAACACTGAAAGCTAAGATATTTTTGCAGAATTTAATTGTTTGTTAAAAAAAACTAAAAATGTCATCATCACTCCTGATTGCTGCTGATTTAAAGAAAGCCAGAATGGAACGAAGAGAAACCAAGCCCAGAGCTTGTAGCCTTCCAGATTACAACATTCTCGAAAGTGAAAATATTTCGTATTTTCATTTGAGAAGAAAAACTTAAGTATTACGAACAATCTCGAAAAGAAATGAAACACTGCCAGTGATAGGCGTTACGCTCGTAGAAAGTACCCAAGGTAAAGAATACAAAACCCCCCAATCGCTGATCGATTAATACAAGCGGTGACAGGTTTAATGTCTAGGTTTCTTCTTTTGCTTATTTGTCATCGGGTTTCTGTTTTGCTTCTTTGTTGACTGTCTTCTATGCCTTTGTTTTTCGTCTTGCTTATTTGTCATCATCGGCTTTTTGTTTTGCTTCTTTGTCATCTGTCTTCTTCGTCTTTCTTTTTTGTCTTCCCCAGTTGTCAACGTGTCCCATCGTTGCGCTATTCGAGCCTTGCATTCATCGAAGCACTCCTTATTAAAGCACGGCTCCTCTTTGCAGTACTAAAATATCATTATTAAATTTCAGGCCTAAAACATCACTATCAAGACTATCTCCACCAAGCTGCTCATTGACGTACAATGTTTATAAGGGTCTCACGGCATTCGAGATCATCTATTTCGCATATCATTTTGGGTGCAGTGGTGCTTTTGTCGCACACCAGAAGAGCAAAGAAGTATATGCTGATGAACCTCATGTGATTCTACAAATTTGCTTAATTCTTTTAGGCCAATAAAAGAATAGATTGAAGAGCGGAACAAAATCTAGTTGTAAAGAACACTGGAGGAGGATGGAAGAGGCAGGAGAGGGTACGGTGAAATAAGGAGTTGTGTAACGTAGGAACATTTTGCTCATTGAATTTTTCATGTCAGCGAGCATTCTAGAGAAATTTTTGCATTGTAGATATACTAGAGTGATAGATTGAAACAAGCCGCAGCAAAACCGTCAAGGAGAGAAAAGAATGAAGTTGCTCGACACAGGCACGCTTATATTTGTTTTTTACCGCTTTCATTTGTGATGAAAAATCATCAAAAAAAAGCGGGTTACCATTCTAATCGGGTGGAATAAAAATGCTGCACGCATTTCAAACGGCCTTTATGTGTTTTTTAAGACGATCTAAAATCACACAGAAATTTTTCTGAAAACTTTTGACAGTATCTCCCTAATGCATGAGCTCTACAATTAAAATGTTGAACACAAGTTGTAAGTAGTGTCGACATAGTGAGGATTAGCGCAAACTTGTTGAGACCAGGGCACGGCAGGGGTGGCTTACCAAGCAAGCTGCACATCGTTTTGGAGTAAAAGGCAAAGTTTATAGGTCATTTGAACATTTTATGAAGCCAACATCAACTCAAGTATGTTAGACTTTTGCACACATCTTACTATCAGATTGTGTAAGTTCGGTCGCGCATCCACTTACTTTTTTCCTAATGTTTTGTGCTGTACCAAATTGCATAGGTGCGTCTGAAAACTCTTTTTCGTCCTATCAAATTCGCTCCTTCATCCTCCTAAATTAGTGAGTTGGAAAAGAGAAGTCAAAGACTTTGAATTGAATATTAAAGAGGTGGAAATTTCATTTTTGAAAACTACTTTACTTTGCCTTCCGAATAGTTGAGAATGCTTGCAAAACAGCTAAAAAATTTGCGAGACGTATGAGAATTGTGCTATAGATCCCGTACACCGTTCAGATTTGCTAATTTAAAGGCAGTGGCTTGGTAATAATCGCGAATGGGAATTTCCACAAATACATGGCCTTCTGGACTAACTGAGTTAAATACTGTGCTTGAAAAGTCAAAAAACTACTTTTTTGGAGATTTCCGACTTTGGTGATTACTGAAAATGCGGGGCGAGGGATTTCCGTCAACTGTACTTATTGATTTCCTGAGCTGATCGGCCAACTGCCGCCAAAACAGGTGAAGTTACAGTATGCAGTCACTTGCTGGTTATGGAATATCTCGCCCCGCCCCTCCAGTAGTCCGCAAGACACCGGTAAACTCCAAAATAAAATTATGACTCAGCTGGTTCAAAAGGTCACGTGGATGTTAAAAGCCCTCGGTCGCTATTTTTCCGAGCCGCTGCCTTCAAATTCACATATTGGCTTGGAAATTGGTCTCATACTGTCTCTTCAATTTTAACACTGAAGTAGGCATTTAAGAGAAATGATTGCTGAACAAACTGGGACAAAGAGATTGGTGGTTACAGAATGTCGATTTCATCGGTTGCTTACAAAGAGATTCGCAATTTGAAGGACACGTAGCTTGAGCAACAGCGACGAACATATGCATATGAAGGCAAACAGTGTCTCGACAAAGCTTCGATAGCCTATCTGTGCCTGCTGATGTTTTCCTGAAGTCCTCAATCAAAAATTTTGAAAATTAGCGAAACTTTAACATGACGAAAACTAAGGCCTGTAAATTTCAGCACTCTCTTAACGACTCACTCTGTAATATAGCAGCTGCAAAGAGAAGGAAATGCTTCATCGGATGCAGAAGTGTTTGCTAATCTTTATCCTACCGTATTCGCCGATGGATTCAAAATTGACAACACTTTTGCACCGATCTAATATGCATAAGCGTATTAACATACATCATTAGATTGTGTGATTCCGTTCGCATCCTTTTAAGGTTTTACTCAATATTTTGCTTACCTCTTGACTAATTGGATATATGTGTTTAGAGGCTGCAAGCCTGTTTGTTCCGCAAATCAGCAGGAGATCTCATAAGATATTTTGGCTTTTCAACAAAAAATATAACGATTCAGAATAATTCTTGAAAATTGCACCTCCCTACAAGTTCCTCCTTTTTCATGGGTAAATTTACTTTACGAACATGAAAACACAGATGAACAAAAGATAAATCGCTTTTGTAGGTTCTGTCAACTATGCTTGTTCGCTCATTTTCACATCTGCTATGCTATCTTTTAGATGTCGGCGAAACAAGTCTTTGTCGAGACAGTGTTCTCCTTCATATGGAGGTAATCTTCGCTGTTTCAAGCATGTGTCTCCCAAATTGCGAAATCCTTCTCAAACAACTGGTAAATTCGAAAATTCTGCAACTATCACCCCTTTCTCACAATTCTTGGACCGTTCGGCAGTAATTTCTCGCAAGCCTTCGGGTGCCTACTTTGAAATTGAAGAAAAAATGAAACGATTTCCACGCTAGTGAAATGAAATTGATTTAGCAATTCTTAGCAGTGCACGAATCTATAGCAATTATCTTCACGTCGCAGATTCAAGCTGTTTTTTAGCACTCTCACCTATGGAAGGCGAAGTAAGATAGTTTTCAAAAATGGATTTGTCACCTCCTTAAGTTCCAGTCTGGAGTCCTTGACTTATTTCCAAACTCAGCAATAGAGCAAAATAAAGGAAAAAGTTGATGGAGCAGGATGAGAGTTTTTGGACGCAGTTACGCATCCTGATACGACAAAAAATACACAAAAAAGCGAAACGTGAGAATGGACTTACACAGTTTGATAACAAATTCTTCTTATACAAGTGTAACATACTCGAGATCCTCACTATATCGAACAGTACTTACAGCTTCTGATCAACGTACTATGATGTAGCGCTTTTGTATCAGGCAATCACTTTCAAAAGTTTTCAAAAATTCTTGTGCGTGATTTCAAATCATTTCAGGGAAAACGCTTAATGGCCATTTGAAGAGCAAGTTTTTCTTGCATGTATAATTTTTGCAGCTTTTGTGCCATCTGAATTGTATGCCAGGCCGCTCAACGGCACTTCGGCTTTTCTTAATAATTTTCCGATATCAAATAAAACCGATGCAAAACAAATATAAGTGTGTTTAAGTTTCAAACCCAGCAAAGGAGAAAAGTAAAGAAAAAAGTTGGTAGAATAAGAGTTTTTGGACGCATTTACGCATTTTGATACGACACAAAACCGTAGGAGGAAAGCGAATAGACGTGATATTGAATTTACACAATTTGATAATAAGTGAATGCGTCGCAGCAATTTTGCACCTAACCCTCACTATATCTAAAGTACTTACAACTTTTGATCAACGTATTATGATCAGGGTCGAGCAAGAGGTGTGCCACACAACCGCCGAATTCCACCCCCTCCCCTAAGTTCTCGACACTCCCCCCCCATTTTCATTTGCCTACCGTAGGCAGGACATAAACGCTTTATCTAGCACAATTAGTAACATATTTGTGATTATCATTTCAGCTAATCCCTGTGGGCCAAGTTTTAGCGAATTCTGGGGTTTCCCAATATTGGGCCGCCCAAGTGAAGTGGCCATATTCAAACATGATTAACTATTCCAAAAACGAATTAGCTACCTCTTCTTGCACTCACTACGAGCACTACTCCTATTTGCCTACACCATGGATCCTGCTTAAAATAATCATCAAGCTATAGAATTAGAAGACAACCAAAATCTCGTTTGTCCCATTTTTTGCATGCAGTGGTTGTGTTTCAGCAACTGTTGCTCAAACGAAAGAAAACAAATCCAGCTCTAATCATTTTTACAAAAACTACGAGATTTTTGCTATCGAACGAGACTAATTTGTTCCCTAAGGTTTTCTTTAAAGGTAAGTTAATTGGGTGTGACAACCCCTAAGAAGCTGTGGGGGCCAAACCTCATGCTTAAAAGGATTCAGACATCTGCGTGTTTTATATCATTGCTATTGCTCAACTTTCTCCTTCACACAGTAAAAATCTTTTGAAATTGTTTTTTCTAGCGGAAGATATAGTCGTTTTTCCTTACCTATGCTCAATGAAAATGCTGCGAAAATATTGGGACATGGTAACATGCTCACCTTCAAAACGAAGGTATCATGATTGAAAATGACTATATCACTTGGATGGCCCAATATTTGGAAACCTCAGAATTCGCTGGAACTTGGCGCACTGGGGTTATTTGACATTCTAGTTACGAAAATGCTGCCGTTATGCTTATAGTGCTCTTTTATTACGCTAACTGTACATATACGATTGTAGGCCAAAACATCAATGTGCTAGTACTTTACGCAACGCCTTAATTGTTAACGAATATCAGGTTATCGCTACAACAGCTCAACTCGATAACGACCCCCTCTCCCCTCCCCGACCCATCAATATGACCCCGCAGGTGTGGCATGCTACACCCCACGCTTGACCCTGTTTATAATGTAGAGTTTTGGATTAGGTAAACATTGTCAAAACTTCTCAGAAATCTTCTGTGTGGTTTTAAATCGTCTCAAGGAAAACGGTTAAAGGCCTCTTAAAGTGCAATTTCTTCTCGCTATATGTAAGATTTTTGTAGCATTTTGTTCCGCCTGATTTGCATGCGAGGTCGCTTAACGACACTTTTGGGCTTTCCTTGATGATTTTTCGATATCAAACGAAAACGATAGAGAACAAATCTAAGTGTGTTTGTGTTTAGCGCGTTTTCTTTATCCTCCCTGACGGCTTTGCGTCCGCTCATTTCGATCTAGTGTCATAGTACGTCATAATGCAAAAACTTTTGGCTAATGCTCGCCGACATAGATTCTTCGAGCAGAACGTCAACCTAGAAGCAAAATGTCAACGTTACACAACTCAGACCGACATGTAGTTCATCAATGCATACCTTGTTGCTCTTCTGGTGTGCTTGTGTTATGGAGACCTTATTTCCGAAGTACGTCAATGAGCAGTTTCGTGAAGTATATTGTAACAATATTTTAGGTCTGCCGCCAGATTTGCAAAAGAATCACATTT